CTCTGGAACAACTAAAATTACGATTGGGCCAGTGCAGTCGGTTTAGCAAGTTAAAACATGTCTCGCGGCGGCAGATCGGAATCGGACCTGGCCACCCTATATAATCTGCGCTCAGGAAATTACACGATGATGTCTTGCCGGATAAATTCTGGGAAGATGATAATGTTCAACGGCCATGCAAACGGATCGAAATCGATGTCTTCGGGAATACGTCTTCTACATTTTCTCTCCTCTTCCCTTTCCCTCTTCTTTTTCTTTTTCATGACCCCCCCACATTTCCTTCCTCGCTCCGTCGCCCCCGTCGTCGAGCAACAAGCCAATGATATGAATGATAAGATCGAGATCGATTACGATCCTCCGTACCGGGAACGAGTTTAAGGATACGCGCTGTCGGTCGAGTTTGATTGCTATATGGTGGAATGGCAATTTTCGCTGTTAATGTCTTAACGGCTTCGAATTTTGTCGATGCGATGGCCGCCGCGCTCGATCAATGTCAGACATGCCAGATCGGTGATCTCTTATTCTACTTAGGCGGTGCTTCGACAGATTGGATCGTCACCGTGTTGCTCGGTTAATGATACGGTTCATTGTCGTTATTCGAGCAAAGTGTAAAGTAGTTGCACTCATGTTTGTTCTCTTTTTTTTCTTTCTTTCCTTTCGTTTCGAAGTGGGAGGAGTCGTTGAGAAGATGAACTTTAACAATGTTTTTACGTATTTTCACGTATATTTTTTATTTCAAAACAATTCGTACGATTCATGACTCGACGTGATTTTCAATTCGCTATTGTATATACGTATGGTAGATTGATTTTCTGATATCGTTGCGTAAGACACGAGGATGCAACCGATGGATCGAAACACGACGTGCGTGCACCGATGCAAGAGGAGGAAAAAAAAATTTTTCGCGATCCCACGAACGCCACGCGATGCTTCATGCCACGTGCACGTGACCCCGCGACCTTAGATGCAACAGCACTATTTCCCTTCGCCGACGGATCTTCTCCTCCTCCCTTTCCTCGTGGCTGCACGCTGCAGGACGTGGCACGACACGAGACCGGAGATTAATATTATCTCGCGTGAACCGGCGAGATCGTTTCAGAGTTCCTGCACGTAGAGAGGCTGCCGCTCGGTACTGGTCTCGCTTCTTCCATGTCTTGCACGCTTCCGTTCAACTCCGGGAGATTGGAAGGCAAAGATGATGGAAGTGGAATAGGGTGGATTTTCTCCTCTTCTTTTGAAATTACATATTTTTATTGTAATCAAGGGGTGATGGAAGGAATTCTTTCATATTTTTTTAAAAATATCGTTAAACAACGTTCTTTTAAAAGCGGTTTTCACTAATTTTTCTATTGAAAGTTTCGTCATTTTATCGATCCTCGTATTTTCAAAAACCAAGAAACAATCCTTTTTCTATCTGTAACATAAAGATAGAAATATTTTGAATTTTTATAAAAATAAATATAAGTATTTTATATTTTATTTGAAATATTTCAATATTTAAATATCGATATTTGGAGTACATTCGATTCGATTCTTAAAATTTCGTTCAAAAAAAAAGTATGCATCTTGAGAAGATACATAGGTCAATTTTTCAATTGAATTTCAGGATCGTTAAAAAAAATTCTTCCGCGTAAGAAACGGCGGAGGAAGAACTGGCTCGAATCTGTACAAGGCTGCGCACGCGTGCTGCTATCAAGCAAACACGATGCAAGCCGGGTATTATTCAAAACGGTGGTGGTGCGGTGGGCAACCGTGGCTCTTCGAACGTCATTAACATACACCGTTCGCATATGCATATCGCTACCGTGCTTTGTACACGAGTACACGCGTGTCGTATGAAAGCACGACGAGTCCGTACGCGGAACAATAATGTGTACAAAGAGCGATACGGGTGTACAGGAGCCGATAAAAAAGTGCCGCTTATATTTCCCGCGTTCGCCTTTTGTGCGTGACGTGCGCGAGCCACGGTTTCCAGCCGCGTTTTTCTGAGAATGTGTCGTAAGTTTTCTGCCAGTCAAAGCACCCTGAAACGATTATTTTCGGTTCGGCTTCTTAGACGTGTTTTGTTTCGCGATATACAGTGAATGGATGGAATTTGTTCGCGGAATTCGTACGGTGAAACTCGGCTGGTATGAATTCGTAGGTGGTTGGTATTGCTTCTTCGCTTCGACAAAATTTCAATATTTTAAATATTTAAAAAAAAAAAAATAATGTTCCAGTAATTGGTCGATTCTTTTTTTAGGGGAAATGTTAATTTTAAAGTATATTTGTATGTATATCATACATGCAATTATTAATTATACGATGATCATAAAATCGAACGTTATAATATTATAATCAAATTAGAATTAATCTTTAAATCATAGATAGACACGTGGATTTTAAACAATCAGCAAACTGACTTGATGAGAATTATCCCACTGGTTCACAAGTTAACGAGTCATTTCTAATTCACGACACTGCTAACAGATCGCATTTACAAAAATTCTATTTATTAATCTGTCTTGTGCAATTCTGCCTATCGTTACGATTATTCACCATTCATCTTATCTTCCTTTTAACCATTCGAAAATAATCGATCCAACCTGGCTCGAAACAGCGTACAGCAACGCGATAAGAGGAAACCGACGTTCGCAATTACCATTAACCTCGCCAGAACTTGCAAGCAATCCAGAAACCGGCGTATATATTCCGTTGAACAAAACGGAATAATCACCGTGCAAGAAGGCGTTCGTGCATCGGTACGGATGCAAATACGGGGATGCAAAGGATCAAACGAGTATCACCTCTCCTCCATCAGTTCGGAACGATTCAAAACGATTCCGCCACGGGCGATCGAAAACGAGTGGCCTCTGTACGAGGAGGATGGATCGGGATGAACAATGACGCGGGAGGAGGAGGAGGAGGAGGAGGAGTAAGAAGCTGTGTGCACCGGCAGCTGGCAGTGTTTAACACGTTCGTCGATGCGCGAAAACGCGTCTGGTAGCATTCTTACGAGTACGTAAGGGGCCTCATTAAACGGCCCAGGAAGACGGTAGTGCATCGTTGTCGATTTCTTTGCATTTCGTTCTTACACGTGGTACGAATGTACGAGTTTGAATGATGTCGAGGGATTGGATTTGAATCAGGATCGCATTGATCGTAATTTTCGTTTTTGTGTTTATCTATTTTTTGAAAAAATGAATGAGTAGAAAAGAAGAAAGTTTTTATTTGATAAAAGTAATGGGGAGAAAAAAATTGTGGAGTCGAATCGATTTTTTAAGAATCGAAAAATGTGAATTAAGATTCTTTTGAAAATTTAATTTTAGAGATTGTAATAAATATTTCGAAGAGAGGAGAATGTTGTTTTTATGATACTTCATTATACTGTTTTCCTCTTCGAGTTTGATTAAATTGATACCACGAATTCCGAATTTCGAGCAACAAATTTTTAATAAGTTGTGCTGAGCATAAGAAAAAAGAATCTTATCTACATAGATAATAAATTTCGTACATAGCTTTAAAAATTTGAGAATTCGCACACGATTAATTTACAAATACAGTCAAACACGTGCATTTCTTCGCAGCACTCGAGATGTATTCTTGTTGTCTCTAAAAACAATAGCATGATTTAAAATTTATGACAAAAAAAAACGATAAATTTCAATTACAGCATTTAATTATTACATTATTACAATCTTAATAATTAACAATAAGCGTTGCAAGCAAGATTTGGAATAATTTTGCGAACAGGATTATAATTCATCGTTGAAATAAACGAAGATAAAATTCGTAGTGGAGTACGACTCAAAATTCCTAAGAAAAAAAAAAAAAAAGAAAAAAAAAGAGGAAAAAATCGTCGACAAAACGCAAAAATAAAAGAAGAAGAAAAGGAGTGAAACATCTCCTTCGCCGGGAGAAAAAAATTCTGCCGAGAGAGAGAGAGAAAAAAAAAAAGAAAAAATATTCGAAAGGGAACATTGTCAGCGAAGAAACAGGAGGGTTCCACTTGACTACCTTCCCAGGAGAAGTCCTTTGAGAAACCGAAGAGACCGTCGCTGGTCTTCACGGTCGCCTTGGTTTTTTGCGCCGGCTTAATTCTCATCCTACGGTGTTGCCTCGAAAGAGAAGCACGGATAATTTTAGCGAGTCACCGCGTGATGATACTCGTCCGTGTTTCTCACGTACTACCTCCGATGATAGCACCACGTGGTGGTCATTAAAGCCTCGCGAAAGATGCGGAACGCGAGGACAGCCTCCTCTGCAAAGAGAAATATAATCCTCCTAGTGTGTGTGTGTGTGTATGTGTGTTTGTGTGTGTATGTGCGCGTATTGGCGGTGCTTGTTTAAAATAACGAGACGCAATCACTTTCATTCGTGGGAAAATTTTAGCTGTTTGTTGATAGTGAATGTTGAAAAATATCGTGGCTTCCATTAATACTTTCGGTTTTAAATTGTTTTAGGGTTATGAGCGTTTGTTGCACGTTGAAAGAGGCAATTTTAATAATTCTGGGATGTTTTATAACTGTCTCGAGAAGTAATAGAAATAAAAAATTATTTTCTGATTCGAAAAAGCTGATGAGGAATGGTAGAAAAAAGGATAACAGATGAAAATATTGTGAGAATTAAAAAAAATAAGAAATTCGTGAATTTTGGATGAAACTAAAGAAGAGAAATACGTGGTATTAATTAGAGGAGTGACGTAATCTAGATTGGAAGGTACGAGATTGGAACAAGTTTTAAAGAGAGGCGAAAAAACTGAGGAACGGCACGCATTACACAACAATTTAAATCAAATTTAATAAATACAATTCGACACGCGATGTTCAAACTTCTTCGTACATTCAGCAATAAATACACCTGCATGAACGAGACTTGCTTCAGGGTGCCGGGCAAATGCTCGAAACTTGCAAATTCATCGCAATAATCATTACCATTGGCAATTCATCACGTCGGACAGACCTCCCAGCACACAAACGTTCCTGCGACACGATTCTCGAATAATAATCGCGCGCATCAAAACAATCTTAAATTTTTCTTACGTATTTTTAATCACGCTAGATTGATTCCATTGAAATTTTAATGCGATTTGACGTAATATATATCTCGTAATAAATCTCAATTGATTAGTCTACTTTTACGTATATCGTCATGCCTCCTAAATCTAACAGGATGTGTTAATAATACATTCGTGGAGACACTTTTAGAAAATCAATTCTCGAAGCCAAAACAAAAAAACATAAAGTAGTATACAAAAATTTCGATTAAGACTTATTTACCAAGTTATAAGCGTTGAAGTTTCGGTTAGACGAGGAGAAATAGAAATAGAGCGAGACAGCTTTATTCCTGTTACGCAATTACGCCACAGCGTGGCGCGACGTGTCATTTTCTCTCTGTCTCGCTTCATCTAACGTAAACTTCAATCAATTTATAACTCAATAAATAAATTTCTCTTTTTCTGTAATACTTTTTTATTTCTTTTGTACATCAATATATATTCTAATAATAACATTATTATTATTATTTCTTCAATATCTCTTTTAGACAGATTTATAATAAATATGAGAAAAACATTGTTAAAAATTCTAAATTTTAATACAATTTGCGATACGATATCGATATCTATATAGATATCTCGTGTCAGTATCAATTCCATCCAACGTAAAACATGAAAAAATGAGGAAAACGAGATGATTCTGTCCCTCGGTAAGGGTAAATTATCGCCGTGGGCGAGGGTTTCTCATAAAGCACCGCGCAAATTAAGTAGCCAAGGAAAAGGGAGAGGGATAACGTGTCGTTAGCGAGCGAAAGAAAGTGCAACGAGTGGCATGATGGAGGCCGTTCGTAATTTTTATAGAAATTATTATCGCCGATAGGAGGTAGACTAGAATTATCGTAAATTACACCGAATCGCTTTTAGTTTTGCTTCTTCTCTAATTATTATTTGGCAATTAAACTTTACTGCGTGTCACGACGTCCTGCAACGACGTCACTCTTTCTTCTTTCTTCTCTCTGGATCCTTGTCGTTTGAACTTAGACATCCAATATCGGTAAAAGACCAAAGGGAGAGATCTTGCTCCTTCTTAAGAGATATCGACGATCAACTTTTACGACATTGCTGCAGTAATGAAATTTAATAAGTTGTTTTTAAAAATTTGAATGGTTAAACGGGATTTTTTTTTTTTCTGATATTTCATTACACGATACACGATATCGAAGTACATGCATCAGTGATTAAAGGATGTTATAGATATGAATTTTCTCAGCTTGACGTCTGATAAGTTAATAATTTTTACTATACCATTTTTGGTTACGTTAGATGATTTTTGATTGCAAAGAAGAGATTGCTTTCCAGAAGAAAGAGAATCTATTTTGAATAAAATTTCAATAAATCACGAGTTACTTTTAATGAAATCTCCCTGATTTCTCATTGTACGCAAAAAAAGAAAAATTCATTAAACCAAAACCCATCAACTTAAGAATTTCCAAAGCATCCAGATCCAATCACCGAGAAACACAGACGTGTCCATAAATCGAGAGTAACAGATTCGAATTACCTTATAATCATTTCTCAAACTCTTGAATTGATACTCGTTGTTAACTTGTCCCTGCGAAATATCGAAAGTTCAAACGGCAAATCGTTCGATTACAATATTTCTCCATCATGTTGTATATCATAATTACTCCACCCAGGCCCCCACCTCTCTCTCGAAGTGTCTTCGAACACTCACGACGGAATATTTTCTCCAGCTGCGTATTTCGAATACGAATATAATACCTAAATTAACACAGACACGACAACCTTGCATATAATTATACGGTTAACATGCTCGCGGCTTGTTAAATAATACCAAGTATTTATACGCTTTTACAAACGGCCACGGCTGTTCAACGTTATTAAGCAATCTTTTCCTTTTTCTTTCGCTTCGCACACCATCGACAAAATAAATTCGAGCGTTACACGGGACCGTGCACCGGTTAATAGATGTTGCATATAATTATCCAATTAGCAATGTGTGTTCTCGACGGCATAGCACCGACAAATTGTCGTTTAACACGGAGAAGAAGGTAGGACCGTGACGGCGAGGAACATCCTTGTAAACAAAGTGCTGCGTATCACACGCGTATCATCTCCAACATTGTCATACAAAACAACCTCCATCCCTTGATAAACCGCATCGCGCATTTTCGCCATATTTTTATTTTGCACTGCGCGGAACCGTCGCGATGATAATCATCTTTAATCGAGGTTTCGTGTTCGATCAACGAGGAATAGACGAGTTTTAGATAATCGTAACACGTGTTGCGATAATTGGCGTGAGACGAGAGATGATGTCAGCAAAGTGAGGAATTTTTTTTCTCTCTCTCGCTGACGTTTTCAGATTTCTCGCGATATGCCCGCGATAACGAATAACGTCGAAGATGTTACTTTGAATTATATATAATAAAATATATATATATATAATCTCTATGGTTTAAAAAAATATACTTTAATATACTTTAACCTATAATATACTTTAACCTATAATATAATATGGTTTAATATAATATACTTTAAGAAAAGATACGATATAATTATAAACGAGTATAATTTCGACAAAAAGTTCACGCTTGAGAAGAAAGAATTTGCCCAATATCTCTCAAAAAAAAAAGAAAAGGAAAGAAAGAAGGAAGAAAAGGAAAGGAAAAAAAAAATCTCTTGGAACAAGCGTTACACTTTGAACGGGTAAAAGGAGCTCGGTAGAAACGAGCACGAAGCGTACGACTCTCCTAATCTCTTTTAAAAACATCTCGGCAAGCCTCGAAGCACGTGTCCGTTTGAATGACGTCGGGGACAGGCGGCGTACCCACCGCAGGATTCTCCCGGCTCGCCTCTCCTTTCCACC